AAGAAGAAGAAGAAGAAGAAGAAGAAGAAGAAGAAGAAGAAGAAGAAGAAGAAGAAGAAGAAGAAGAAGAAGAAGAAGAAGAAGAAGAAAGGCAGCGGAGGAGGAGATGGAGGAGGAGGAGAAAGAAGGAGGAGAAGGAGCAGAAGAAGGAGAAGAAAGAGAACAAAAAGAAAGAAAAAGAAAGGAGGAGGAGAAGGATGAAGAAGGAGGAGGAGGAGAAGCAGAAGGAGAAGAAAGAAGAACAAAAAGAAGAGAGGAGGAGGAGATGAAGGAGATGAAGATGATCCAGGACACACCTTCCCTAAGCTTTGGTCCATGGTCTTCCTGCTGTCCCATGGATTTTGGCCACTGTCCAACCCACAAACTGCCCACCTCAGCCAGATGGCAAAAAAAATCTTTCCAGCCCATGGAGAGGACATGTGGACCATCCATCACTTCCAGTCCTGTTACCTTGATGCGTTGAGTCTCGCTGAACTTTCCAGAAGTGGCGGCCGTGGGGATCTTCTCACCTTCCTTAGACGTCGGCTGGGGGGGACCTTGCTGAAAATCAAAGAGATGATGTGGTAGAAGACATTCTGGGGCCGGGACTCAACAAACGGATGAAAATCAAGGACACCCCCTGTGGGGAAAAGCGAGGGTTGAGGACTTCCCTACCTGCATCATGGCCGTCTGCTCCATGGAGAAGGTCTGGTACTTGAAGGGGATGTAGACGGTCTCCTTGGGACGGAGGTAGACCTGAGGAGTGAGGCCGTTGTGAAGATGAAACATGTCCTCCTCCAACGGCGTGACCGTTTGGGTCAGTTCTTTAAAATGCCTCCACTCTCTGACGTCCAAGATGACGCTAGGAGAAGACCAAGGACAACGTTAACGGAGAAAACAGGGTGGTTTTGGAGAGAGGGCATCTCCAAGGGGTTCCTGGGGTCACCTTCTGGTTCTCCTGGCTCAAGGGTAGGGAAAATTGTAGGTGGCCTCCATTGTTTCCTGGTTGGAAGTGAGGCTGAAGGTCAACAATATCTGAAAGAAGACTCTGGGAGGAGACCAAGGTCAACACAGAGATAGTGGCTTTGGAGAGAGAGAGAGCATCTCCAAAGGGTTCCTTAGATCACCTTCTGGCTCAAGGGTGGGGAAAATTGTAGGTGGCCTCCATTGTCTCCTGGTTGGAAGTGAGGCTGAAGGTCAACAATATCTGAAAGAAGACTCTGGGAGGAGACCAAGGTCAACAAAGAGATGGTGGCTTTGGAGAGAGAGAGAGCATCTCCAAAGGGTTCCTTAGATCACCTTCTGGCTCAAGGGTGGGGACACTGTTATACCTCCAACATCCATTGTCTCCTGGTTGGAGGTAAGGCTGAAGATCAGCAATATCTGAAAGATGACGGTGGGAGAAGACCCAAGTTCCTTGGGTAATCTTCTGGAAATTATAAGTGGTCTCCAAATGGACCTACAACTTTCCACTGTGGGGTGGGGACACTGTTATACCTCCAACATCCATTGTCTCCTGGTTGGAGGTAAGGCTGAAGATCAGCAATATCTGAAAGATGACGGTGGGAGAAGACCCAAGTTCCTTGGGTAATCTTCTGGAAATTATAAGTGGTCTCCAAATGGACCTACAACTTTCCACTGTGGGGTGGGGACACTGTTATACCTCCAACATCCATT